GCCGTAATGTCAAATACTAATTTATTATTGTGTGATGAATTTAACTGGATCAGTGGTTACATGTGATATTAATATTCCATCAATTTCTTTCCTGGTTGGTCCATCCATGTCTACAAAATGAAAATAATACAATTAAAATGGAGCATAGAACAATTCTTAATTTCAGGCTAGAGCTCTGGAAATCTAGACTTTCCCAATCATTATAGACTTGAGTTGGTCTCATGTTTTACATTATTCTCTTGGGTCAACGTCACAGCTCATACCATACACTAACAAGACCAGCTTGCCCCCCGCCCGAGCTCCTGGATTTTGGTTATATCATCTAACATGGCTAACCCTGCTCTTAAGTAACAAGAACCTAATCAGCGAGGGGTCCTTTATCATCCCTATGTGGCTGCTTATAAAAATCTGATATCTTTTCCCAAAGACCTGGTTAATAATATATTGTCTGCTGAATATTCGAAACAAATAGAGTGAGTTGGTACTACATGTACATATGTATACGGTTCTATTTTAAATGACTGCAGCGCTCCATTATGAAAACAATTTGTTTGAACGCCGCTCTCAGCAGTATTCCAGTGATATATGACGGCGGTCTGTTGTATATGAAATATATGCAAATTGAATCTTGAATCTTGAAAGTTGTAACATTTCCGCAAATAAGTATCACATGCAGTATACAGTATATCCAATGCAATATACTGTATACATCAGTGTGTCGCGAGCTCTGCGCTGGGCTGGAGCACACATTTCCTGCACCTCTCCCTTCGGGAAACACATCACTAGGGTTGCAACGAGGTCACAGGTCAGGCGTGCACTCGTCAGTTGTCTAATACGGTCAAGAGTAAGATCTTCCGGAAGACCACTGCACTGGAGGTATGTGGATTATTGAGGAGGTACTACGTGTTTGGAACTGGGAGTTGAACACTAAGCACTTTTAGAGAAGAGCTCACAATAAAACGTTATGGACTCGCGGACGGACTTGTGTTTTCATTTCAAGACGTACATTTATCAGGATGAACTTCCTAACTGTAACAATAACTGAACTTTACGCCTTTTATACACATTTGTGATGGGGCGACAATGCGACAACGAAACATATTTTGACCTTGAAAATGTCGCGTTACGGCATCGTCGCCCTTTTGTAAAATAAAGAAAAGGATTATCAAAGAGCGACAATGCGAACACGCGACAATGCGACAAATGGCCAATTGTCGCGCTTTTGTTAATTTTGACACGTTTTGCTTGTTTTTGTAAAGGCGTCAATGCGACAATGAGACAATGTCCCTTCCATGGTAATCCGTGCAAATAAAACTGAGTGTTGCAGCTTCTGATTTCATAGATCTTCAAGAAGGGTTATCAATAATGGGATGGGTGATGAGTTCAACTGCATACGCTGTGATTAACAATAATGCTCCGAGTCAATACATTTTGTCAAATGTATGACATGTATTACGTGAATGAACATATTGTTTATACTCGTCCATGTTTTTGACGGACAAAATAATTTACATGCTCGGTAAAACTGAGGACGGGCATCATTATGTGTTTCCGTGCTTTGTTCAGGTGAACAATTGACTTGTCCTTGCATGTGTTTGTGACGGGTGCCACTTGTGTGGCAGGATACGCTCACCTTTTCCCGAACACCAATTGGATGACCTGAACCACTTCAGATTTTTATCCCACATCAGTCTGATACACCATGATATAACTGAAATACTGAAATACTGTACAGTTGAAAATGATGTTTAATGCGATTACCGTATTGTGTTACTGCAACTGTTCATATTTTGTGCAGTGATGTTATGTAATATGTAAAAGAAAGCATATTCAATTATCCAATTGATTTGAATAGAATATACTTGCGTCAGTGTATTTTATTAACGCCCCAAATCGTAATTTAAACACATAAAATAACAGATCACGCATGGTGCCTTGACTTACTACTAGATTTAATGGGCCACCCCAAAGCGAGGAACATATGTTTTAGTATGTTTACAAGAAATATATTCCAAACAATATCCTCATTAGATGAGAAGATATTTTACAGAATTACCTCAGTAAGTCAATTACAATGACAGAGCGTCGTAATACATTTACATCAAGTACAATACGTCAAAATGGCCGACACGATAAACGTGACGGGAGATATTTCCGAAGTTGTTAATTAACCTGTGGCTATTTCAAGCCTTTGGCATCACTGATCAATTGGCCGATCATTGAAAGGTGATTGTGAAAATGTGTCAAATAGATACTAAGGTAAATTCATAGATTTCTGTATTTTGTCACTGCGACAGTTTGGATTTTTTTTCGTGTTTTTTCTCTCTGGGATGGGTTGTAGCGAGGGTATCCTTAAATGGGCTTGCAACCACGCTTCTGTATGAATTCGTACCAGGGAATTCCAAGGGTTTTCCCCAGGAATGTGGAAGTAGTCAGTGTTTACGCCTTTTCAAGAATACAGTCACGTGAAGAACGTCATGTGACCGACCTCGCGTCCAAGTCGTATATCTTGTAAACTTCACATTAAAAAATTAGTTATTGTTATAACCAAATGAAACACAACCCATTATCCGATAGGGGTAACTGTACATAGCCGTTACCACAATAAACTTAGTAACATTGCTTGGTTTGACTTCTTGGCGCGTGTCTGAATTCCATTAACATGTAACATATCCTAAAACTAGCTTATCAGCAAATCTCGCTGCACTGCGCGCGACAGATACTAGAGCAAGGCATGCCAGAAATACGAAACCTAAAGCGTCCGAAAGGAAGCCTTGGACATCACGTGCGTCGGGGGACCAGCGCCATCTGATTGGCCGTTAACAGTTGTACAAGGCGGAGCAAAAAGCATCGTTTTTCCGTCCATTTTACGCTTGAAAAACTCGACCCTTTTCTGGACACTTTCTAGACGCTGACCAATTAATCAATTTTAATGAATTTTTAGTCGTTTTTCCGTCCAATGACCATATACGGAAAAAAACGACGTTTTCGTGTTTGCAGTGTAAGGCTGCTTGTACTGGTCAAGACTAATGCCGATTTTATAATGCTTGTCCACTGAGATACTATGCCGCAGTTTAACATGAATATCCCACACAGTATACTGACTCCAAGCCGACCAGTCCTTGTTTTAGCCCCTTTCTGCTGAACGCCAGGCAGGGTAATAACAAGTAACATTATAAAAGTCTTTTGGTATGACTCGACCGGGGATCGAACCCCCTACCTTCTGCTCTCCGGGCGGACGCTCTACCTCTAAGACCAAGGAGGCAGTCTTTCAAGTTAACGAGCTGCGACGTGACGTCCTTCAAGAAGCGATGTACCCTTTGTATTTAACACTATGTGCTAACCTGCATTCTACGTATCTGGGCCTTAGGCTTTACGAATAATAAACATGACGGATTGAAAATTGCAAGTCTACAGTACAGTTATGTAGCATCTGTACAAGCAAACCTGCATTCTACGTATCTGGGTCTTAGGCTTTACGAATAAGAAACATGACGGATTGAAAATTGCAAGTCTACAGTACAGTTATGTAGCATCTGTACAAGCAAACTACATCACTCAATTTATAAACGATATAACCAGTCTAACGATCGATACCTTCTTCTCCTTCCATTCCAGGGGCGGTGGGGAGCCTAGTGGTTAAAGCGTCCCACTAAGTACTTCCATTAAATAATTTAACAGCAAACCATTCGCTAAACATATACTAGTATATATATGCCACTCTCCTGTAATAAGACACAAAGGTCACACAGTGTAGTATTAAAGGTCACCCTTCCCATCATGCCGCAGTGGCTGTTTCGTTAAGTTAAGCGACTCAGCCAAAGTTTAAAAGCAAGCACCTGCCTTGCATTGTCCTCATTATATTTCATCTAGTTCAGCGATGGCGTGGTGGTGCCTTGGCTTAGAGTTATACTGTGGAAACACTTGGAGTAACTCCATAAACGCAAAATATATTGAAATCAATTCTTTTAAAGAAACACGCCAACAATAATAAATTCAAAGATTTCTTATGTAATCATCAACACATACAAAAACTGAAGAAAATAATAAATCAGGGCAATAATGCAGCACCCCCCCCCCCCCCCCCCCCCTTCTCTCTCTCTCTCTCTCTCTCTCTCTCTCTCTCTCTCTCTGAAATTTTTCAATGAATTAACTTTATTTTAAACAAGCAGTTATTGTCCGAAGCTCACTGGTAAAGTTACGTATTGAAATCATTATTTTACTTGTCAGGGAGGGAGGGAGCTTCTTGAAGTCCCAGGATGGAAACTCATATCATATGTCCTCCGATATTTTAGCAGAGCAGCTGCCATGAGGTGAAAGAGTCTTTCAGGCTATCTTAGGACAGTGACAACCCTTCTGCTTTCAAGGCCAACCTTAAAACTGATATGTTTAATCTGTCTTTTAACTAGTGTTGTATGCGCTTATTATCGATGTGGAGTTTGGCGCCATGTAAATTGACATTGTATTATCATTGTTGTTGTTGTTGTTGTTGTTGTTGTTGTCATTGTTGTTGTTGTTGTTGTTGTTGTTGTTGTTGTTATTATTATTTTGTTGTTATTTACCTTTGGCTTTACCTTTACATTTTCATTATCAGGCTCAGATTTGTTTGATAGGGACATCAAAGTGGTTGTTCATCAGATCATTCATTTACCTTGATGAAAACGTGATTATGTTGTCACTAATATCCCTTTTGATAGCGATTGAAAAGATTAATTTCCGTTTAACTGCGTAACGGAAACACCTGTTTTCATATGTAGGAAGTGATATTATGTGTTTTTCTAATCACTTTAACACGTTTTCTATTACACATAAATTATTTATCAGTTGTCTGAACGTAACATGCATTTCAAATTATATTAGTATGTGTATGTATTAAAAAAACAAACCTTTCCTCTTTCGTCGAGTATGGATGCCGACTTTACGTTCGTATGACAAATCATTTCCTTGTTCGTTTCAGGTAAAATGTGATTTTGCAATCTTTTCAAGGGACACAACTCTGCCAACTTCCGCAAACCAAAACAACAATGAGGAACTCGCTCGATACCGAATTATTGAACGGCTAAACATGTTTTCAAAGCACACAACCCTTTACTTACGAATCTCAGAAGCAAAGAACTTGCTGTCGAAAGACCTGTAAGTGTGTTTTGTGTTTGCACTAGCCCTGTCAGACCGCCAGTCGGTGTTTGTTTGGGGACGCTATGATCTATCTACGGCTTATTTCATTCTGAGTCATCTTGTGACAGCAGTGGTCACATAGATAAGTATCTGTCTTCAAAAACATTACTAGTGCAAGCATCTACTGTCTTTTTATACGGTGTCATTTGACCAGTGTGCTGTAGTGGAATATAGATGCGATAAGACGCGTGATAAGACGCGACGTTACGTCAGTAATCCTGATGACGTCATCACCATAAGTGATGTCATTTCAATTAGGCCTAGTGGGTGGGATGAAATATCGAAACTTTTCCACTTTGTTTGTCACAGTTTTTCCAAAATTCGTCTTTAATGGTTGCCAAGTTATATGTGAAAAGTAAAATATGTGTTAGATTCTGTTTATTATTAATTTGTCTTCATGCAGAAAGTGTATGGTGTAGATTCTGTATGTTGTGTACAAAACCAGCGTTCGAAATACCTGCCTGCCCGACCGTCCGAGACAGGTTGTTTTCAACTCGGGCTGTCAGATTTTCAAATCCCCCTGCCCGACGGTCGGGTTATATTTCATAGGTGAAAATATTCTAAATATTTCCCGATGATAAGCAGTATTTCACATGTAAAGATCAATGATAAAATGTAACCAAAAAGAAACCCTGTTAGCTTTTAGACAACCTAACATTTAGCGATGCACTTATGCTACAAGCAATCAGTTTTCATATTTTTAATTAAATTATCCTGAGAAACATATGATTAAAGTGGGCAGGCAGGTTTTGGTCAGGGCTGGCAAGTATTTCAGCTAGCCAGTCCTGTGGTCTGGCTTAAATGTTTGGGAGTTTCATACCCTGACAAAACTGAAATTTTGTTTTGATCGTGACAAAGAGGTAGGCAAAAACTGCATGTGTGAACTTAGGTATCCCATTCATCTTATTGGAAAATAAATATTTTATTGGTCGTTTTGCATATGTTGTAGTATATTTATTTAAATGTCGTTTTATCTGAATACAAATTTCTTGAAAGGTGAGACAAGTGGTCAAAGGTCCTGCATGTTGTGTGAAGAGTTTCCTCCTTTTACCGTAGCAGGATACACAGATCATGGGTTAGAATCCCTAAATTGCCCTGGTTATCGTGGTTATTGTGTAAAGTAAAGAATAACAGCAATAAAGTGAACATTCCTACAGCTGACTTACCATCTTTTCCTCTCCAAAGTCATGTGACCCTCTTTATGTCTCCAGACTCATGTGACATGTACCGTCTTTATGGCTCCAAAGTCATGTGACTTACCATCTTTTTCACTCCAAAGTCATGTGACCCTCTTTATGTCTCCAGACTCATGTGGCATGTACCATCTTTATGGCTCCAAAGTCATGTGACTTACCATCTTTTCCTCTCCAAAGTCATGTGACCCTCTTTATGTCTCCAGACTCATGTGACATGTACCGTCTTTATGGCTCCAAAGTCATGTGACTTACCATATTTTCCTATCCAAAGTCATGTGACCATCTTTATGGCTCCAACGTCATGTGACTTACCATCTTTTCCTATCCAAAGTCATGTGACCGTCTTTATGGCTCCAAAGTCATGTGACTTACCATCTTTTTCACTCCAAAGTCATGTGACCCTCTCTATGTCTCCAGACTCATGTGACATGTACCGTCTTTATGGCTCCAGTCATGTGACTTACCATCTTTTTCACTCCAAAGTCATATGGCCCTCTTTATGACTTAAAAGTCATATAGCCTACAATGGAATCTGTGAAAATAGACTTGTTTTATAATGTAAAAACATTCTCCAGTTTTGACAATGCTCCAGATTAGACTATTTGATGATAACCTTATATAGTTAATATGGACCATAAAGTTAGACTGGTTATGACAGAGATCTGGATTAGTGAGAGTCCGGTTTTGACAGATTCCAACGTATGGTCTATGGATGGGATGAGTCCAAATTTACTACCTGGGTACCAACCCCACTTTTGCCCGACTCTACCCGGGTACCCGCTGTTGGTCTCACGAGATTGGGAATAGTTTGACCGTAGCCCTGGCAAAATGAATTTAGATACTCATATAAAATGATCTGGTCATGCATACACTGAAGTTGACTGAAGTTTTATCTCTATTCAAAAATATAAAGTCGGAAAGAATGCGTGCATAGTCAGAAAGAAATGCGAACATTAGTCACTTATAGCGCAACCGTGGGAGTTCTAGATGATTTTTGTCATTAACAATATATCAGGTGACTAACCACGGGTCCGGGTAGTACTCTGGGTACCCGGGTCCTACTAAGTACCCACCCGACCCGAGTACCCGAGTTACCTGTCCCAGCCCTAGTATGGTCCTCTGTGGCTTAATTTGCCTAAGAAATAATATCGTTTTGTTTTTGTTTTCAGAAATGGCAAAAGTGATCCTTACTGTGTGTTAAAAGTTGATAATGAAGTCATAGCCAGGTAACCAATGATCCCTTTATGCCATAAATATGATAATCATGATAAATGTTCAAATAATACAAATTATGCACTCATTAGAAATACACCAGTGCATCATGGTGTATAAACTGTTGTATTTATTTCATCCAATAAAATTACAACTAAACTGCATTTCTTGATAAATTGTATTTATACCTATTATTATTATTATTGTTATTTATGTCCGTGGTGGTATCTAGGTTAAGAAAAGTTTCAGTATTTTGCCAGTTTATATGTTGGCTCATCAGTAAAACGATGGAAGATTTTGAATGTCATTTCCACTTTGTAATCTCTGGTGTATATGACGTTTTCAGGACAGTGACCGTGTACAAGAGCTTGGAGCCTCTGTGGGGGGAGGAATTCACCCTTCACATGCCCTGTGGCTTCCGTGACCTTGCAATCTACGTCTACGATGAGGACAGAGTCAGGTCAGTTCTTCCTGCAGTTTTGGTCCCACTTTGAGAGTACCGTGTTTAGAAAATAGTGGGGTAGCAACTGGGAGACTGTCTGATAAAATATGGGTACGCTCGGAGTCAGTATACTGTGTCTGAGTGGGGTATTCATGTTAACCTGTGGCTAGTATCTCAGTGTGCTAGCACTATAAAATTGGCATTAGTTTGGGTTAGAATAGGTACCCAGTAAACTATCCTGGTCATAAGAGGTGACCAAATCGATCTGGTAATCAGGCTCCATGACTTTGTTGACTGCATGTCATTGTGCCCTGGTGGCATTGATAGTTGCTCATGGTATCAATCACCTGATTGTCTGATCCAGACTCATTTACAGGCCGCCATCATATATTGCTAAGTGTGGCGTTAAACAACAAACAAAAGAAAACACCTAACTTATTGTGGTTGTAAATGGTAAATATGATTCTATTTCCCCTTGCAGTGGTGATGACATCATCGGCACAATCTCCATCACGAAGCAAATGATCCATGAGCAGAGGACATCTAATGGTAAATAAAGCTCCAACATGTTGCTAGTGGAGGAAATAACACTTCTCATCATTGTCACAAATGTCATGAATATATTTGGGATAAGACTTCTTTGACTTACAGTCAAAGCTCTTGTTTCCCCTAAAAGGCAACTAACGGGATCGGGTGGTCAGGCTCGCTGCCTTGGTTGATGCATCTCATCGATCCCAATTGCGTGGATCGATGCTCATGATATTAATCACTGGATTGTCTGGTCCAGACTCGATTATTTACAGACAGCCGTCATATAGCTGGAATATTGCTGAGTGCGGCGTTAAACAACAAACAAACAAACAAACAAACAAACAAATAAATATGAATTCCAGAGTTTCAATGACAAGGAGTATTTTGGATAACAACTTCTTTATTATACATTTACATTTCAGGGCGGCTTCTTGCTCGTTCATCAAGTGAATGACAGGATGGGGAGCATGACATATATATGTTCATACAAATAAAGCCAGCTGTAAATACATGGAGTTACCAGAAATGGTATATGCCTAGTCCCTCATACAAATCTTCGAGTCTGGCCCAGACAATCCAGTGGATGACATCATGAGCATCGATCCACACAATTGGGATGCATGTCATCGATCCTAATTGTGTGGATAGATGCTCATGATGTCATCCACTGGATTGTCTGGGCCAAACTCGATTATTTACAGACCGCCGTCATATAGCTGGAATATTGCTGAGAGCGGAGTTAAATAACAAACAAACAAACCATCATACAAATCCTGAAACAAATACCTTATATGACTGTAGATAAGTGGAAATTTGAGGACCAGAAAAAAGATTCTGTAGAAAAGGGTCAGCTTATGTATGGATTACACTGTCATCAAACTCTTTTTCTGTCAGTAACGAACTTCGTCGTATTATCATTGAATGAAAGTTTGATTTAAATTAATAAAATTGGTTATGTAGATTACATGAGTCCGGATATACAATTATACAATATTATTACTGATGGTGTAACGGCAGGATTAACTTGCATAATTCAATAAGGACTTGTTGATATTTTATTTCCGATGGGGGTGGTGAGGTAGCATAGTGGTTAAAGTGTTTGCTTATCACGCCGAAGACCCAACTTCAATTCTCCACATGGATACAATGTGTGAAGCTCATTTCTGGTGTTCCACATTGTGATATTGGGGGAATATTACTAAAAGCAGCGTAAAACCATACTTACTCACTCTCTCACAATTTCCGATGACAGATCATGACGAGATAAGTTTTAGGTTGGTCCGGCTTATCTCCCGCACACAAAATTTTAATACAGATTTCAAGTTAATACCTCGGCTTATCTATGAGATCAGCATATCTATGGTCATATTAGGTACATTTGAAATATAAGAGCAATTCTTCAATACTTAGGAAGTACCTTCATTTGGCATTGAAGAGGCTGGAGTAACAATGAAGACAGAGCTGACTTATGCTTTTCAACTTCCTTATTCTTTCACTGAAACATTTCAGTACAGATGCAAGTAGGGCTGCACAGTTTCGCAGTAGGGATGTCACAATACTGGTGTCGAACGATACGATACATATCTCGATACAGAAGCCACGATACAATACATATGTCGATACTGCATTGCTTATGGATAGAGATCCACATGGACAATCGATAGTGTGTTAAATGTGAATCAATGCCAAATAAATTGTACCTGGTATTGTATCATGTATTGTATCTGGTGTACCTGTGAATTACGACGTCACTAATTCGCTGTGCCTTCGTAAACTGTGATATAAACCCTCAAAAATACATATTGCAATAATCGCTATATGGCTGAGATAATGCGGATGCAATGCTTATTTTTAACTCACTCACATAATGCAGTATGATCAAATTGGGTCATCTTCCCGAGGCAAGAGAGTTTACTGACTTTAAAAGTCCAGTTTCCACCCTTGCCGAACTAGGCTGGAATTACTGTGCTTGATCGTAGCGCCACCAGTGGCTATTACCAGTTATGTCCCTTCTATGCCTCTCCTATGGACCAGTCAGATTCCACCTCTTGTATCACTTGCGTTTGCTTCACACAAAATGGTGGCACCCGGTCAGGACGATCTGATCGATAATCAAGATCTATATTGTGATAAAACGGGTCTTACATCGCGAAATGCATCAAAACACTAGAGCACCTTGATTAAAAACATGAAAAGATTTGGAAAATATCTTCTGACAACGGGTTGGCGGTGTACATGCTTTGCAAATCCTGCGATCGACCGAAATCTGCACGACATTTTACAAACCAGATTTCGATTTCGGTGCGCGATTTTGATTGGACTATGCATAGACTCATTAGTCCAGCCAAAATGTAACTCCATAATACCAGCCTAGTTTGGCAAGGGTGGAAACTGGACTTTTATAGTCAGTTAACTCACTTGCCTCGGGAAGATGAATTGGGTTGGTATGTTGAGAAAATATGCAGATGAGTGTATTTCTTTGTTCTTGACTGCAATATTGTTGCCAACAAAAGGGGAAAAGCAAATATGGGGCATAATTGTGGTTTAAACATAAAGGGTAGTTAGTTTGAAAGGGGAAGTTAAACGTTGTGTGCCATTGCTGTGATATGGGGAAATATGCAGGAGGAACAAGAAACTTCACAGCACACATGCACTGGCACCACTTAACATTACTTTTGCTAACACAGTTATTGTCTCTTGGACAGTAACAGTGGCCCATAGCATGCATGGCGCTGTTACTGTTTGCACAACATCTCAACCAACAATACCTCATGTGTTTACGGGGGGCACGGGTGGCCCAGTCGTCTAAGGCGCTGCGATTCACTGTGCAGAGTTGCGTCCCTTGGGCACGCCAGAAACCTATGATTGTGGGTTCAAATCCTGGTTCGCCTTGATTATGTTTCTAGGTTTGTCAGCACAATACCCGTGCTCGTGGGTTTCATCAAAGCAGTAAACGTCCAAGACCTGCATCACTTCGGGCTTTCCTCCCACATTAAGCTGACACACCATGATATTACTGGAATACTTTTAAAGCAGCGTTAAACCCAACTCACTCACTCGCTAATTTGTTTACGTCTTGGAGCTACTTTACTCATAAAAATGTGAATGGCAATATTAGTGCTGTAATGAGATGATAATATAGTATTGTATCTAGATACTAGACCCACGATACAATACATCGATTTACAACCCTGGTATGGCGATACATTCATTACATTACAAGTTATATTGGTGTAAAAACATGTAAATAACTGTTCAACATCCATGCAGATACTCTAGTATTTTCCAGTGGCCTATAAATAACATTATTCACAGTGGCTTCCAGCCTATATGTTTCCGCCCTACAATATCCCATCTTTGATCTCTGAAATTTCAAAACAAATAATTCAGGGTTATGATTCACCTGCGAAATGAAAGAATTTCAACTTCAGAAATAGAAGTTCTGCATCAGGATACTATTCATATCTCTTCCATAGTATCAGTGGGGTGTTCTGGTAGCCTAGTGGTTAAAGAGTTGGCTCGTCACGCCGAAGACCTGGGTTCGATTCCCGACATGGGTACAATATGTGAAGCCCAATTAAGGTGTCCCCCGCCGTGATATCGCTGGAATATTGCTAAAAGCAGCGTTAAACCATACTCACTCACTCGCTCACCCATAGTATCAGTATATGTATCGTATCAAGACCCTACCTTGTCGTTATGACACAGGTCAGTATATTGCAATACATATCACAATACAGACCCAAGTTTCACAATATATTGCAATAGAATATTCCAGGCAATACACAGCCATATTATATGCTAGTACCTTTATCAAACAATACTCAATGGCTCAAAATATTATTCGGAGTCCTGGAATGTTTCTTTTACCACAGGACTAGAACGATGGTTCCCCTTGCTGAAAGCCAACAAGGACCTGGAGATTCAGGGAGAAATCCTCCTGGAATACGGAATACGATCCTCCGAGAACATGTCCAGCAGTCATCTCGTTCTCACAGTGGTGGAGGGCAGGTGGGTGGTAGTGTAGCTCCAGTGTTTCACCCTCCTCTAGTAGCCAATGTTCACCCTACTCTAGTAGCCAATGTGTCATATCTCAGCCCTCTTAGTTGTGACCATTTCAGTTGCGACTTAAATCTATTATTGGCGACCAAAATTTATGTACTGCTTGCCACTTGGGTACCAAAAAGTAAAGATAACTGTCGACAATATCTGTTTAAGATATAAAGAGATAGTAATTGCAAATCTCGTTTACCAAGTCGTGTTTGCAAGGCAAATGTTGAATATATAATTAATTAAAAATGTTCATATCACAATGTTTATTTATTAACAGTTAATACAACTACAGAGGTTTCATTAATATCTTGGGTATTTTGTACCTTGTTGCACTTGCAAAAGGAAATATTTACATTATTACTTAATGTACCGGTCTATTTCAATTGAATACAATTGAAACTTGTGCAAATATTCATCCTTTGATATAATCCTCTGATCATTCACCCTTTGATATAATCCTCTGATCATTCACCCTTTGATATAATCCTCTGATCATTCATCCTTTGATATAACCTATGTTCATTCATCCTTTGATATAACCTAGGTTCATTCATCCTTTGATATAATCCTCTGATCATTCATCCTTTGATATAACCTATGCTCATTCATCCTTTGATATAACCTATGTTCATTCATCCTTTGATATGATCCTCTGATCATTCATCCTTTGATATAACCTATGTTCATTCATCCTTTGATATAATCCTCTGATCATTTATCCTTTGATATGTTCCTATGTTCACTCATCCTTTGATATAACCTATGTTCATTCATCCTTTGATATAATCCTATGTTCATTCATCCTTTGATATAATCCCCTGATCATTCATCCTTTGATATAACCTATGCTCATTCATCCTTTGATATAATCCTATGTTCATTCATCCTTTGATATAACCTATGTTCATTCATCCTTTGATATAATCCTCTGATCATTCATCCTTTGATATAACCTATGCTCATTCATCCTTTGATATAATCTATGTTCATTCATCCTTTGATATAATCCTATGTTCATTCATCCTTTGATATAATCCTCTGATCATTCATCCTTTGATATAATCTTCTGATCATTCATCCTTTGATATAACCTATGTTCATTCATCCTTTGATATAATCCTATGTTCATTCATCCTTTGATATAATCCTCTGATCATTCATTCTTTGATATGATCCTCTGATCATTCATCTTTTGATATAATCCTCTGATCATTCATCCTTTGATATAATCCTCTGATCATTCATCCTTTGATATGATCCTCTGATCATTCTTCCTTTGATATGATCCTCTGATCATTCATCCTTTGATATAATCCTCTGATCATTCATCCTTTGATATAATCCTCTGATCATTCATCCTTCAATTCATCCTCTGACATAATAAATACAAGTTTTCATGCTATTTTTGTATTTTGCAGAGACTTAGCTCCAAAAGACAAGACTGGTTACTCCGATCCATACATCACCATTGAATGCCTTGACCAAAGTAAAACTACCTCAGTAAGTTATTATCACACTATCCATAGGGACTGGGGTAGAATGTGTCAGCAGCACCCTTTGTTAGTTGTAATAGGCAAAAAATTACATGCCTGTGGTGATTCCTGGTTAGAACTGGTCCCCAGCAACCTATACTGGTCGGAGGAGGTGAATCAAAGGACCGGGTAGTCAGGTTCGTTGACTTTGTTAATGGCATGTCTACATGTCCCAATGACAAGAGTTGTTGTTTAAAATATCAATCATAGAATTCTGTGGTCCAGGCTCGATTATTTACAGGCTGTTGTCATACAACTGCAGTATTGCTAAGTGCGGGTTCAAATTTAAACAAAACAACAAAAGTGTTTGAAGGTATGTTTGATCAGGTCGATAGAGAGTCCTACCAAGTTTTATTTCATTAATGTCTGTTGAACAATAGACACACACATATATTATCATTTTGCTGCTTTTCCATTCATAAAGGTGGCCCTGGTGATCATGTCATCTAAGGCGCTTAAATTTGCTGTGCAGAGTTGCTTCCCTTAGTATCACCAGGATCTGTTGGTTTTGGGTTTCTTCCAGATTATGATTCTTGTAATACACTATATCCATGCTCTTGGGTTTCACCCTATTGGTAAATGTTGCTTTTTGAATCATGCATATGGTCCAATAAATATTTTATAGGATTTCACTCTACACAAATAACTCTCAGAAAACAAAACAATGAATTGAAAAGGATCAAATTACATTAAGTAATACGTTACCACTGTTATACCGAGGCTGTTGTCTCCCACAACTGCTGCTATAGCGAAATCTACCACAGAGATCTCAATTACCTCATGCAGCACGTGCGTAGCCACCTAGCTGCCATGTGACACCCTTCACTCTTGTCTCCTTCGTCTGCTTAGCAAGACGTGTTTTCTCCTGCTGAAGCGTTCCTGGAAGATTTGGTGATATTTATTATAGTTTATTCTCTAATAAACTGTGCTTTTATGGGGCGTTGCGGTAGCTACGCTTGGTTATAATTTTCCCGCCAAACGGAAAATTTTTCCCGCCCTTTTTTCTCTATACTTGCGGGGTTCGCGTATGCACGTTGTGTTTTCCGTTTCCCCTGTTCTTGTATGTTTTGGGGGTTAACATAACTTATTTCTTTAATAAAAGTTATATGTGTATGTTATATGTTCACATTGCTCGTTTATTTTCTTGTGAAAATGCTCGTTTGTGAATCGTTGTGGTGCGTGCGTTGTAACCATGTTTTGTTCTTTGTTTATAGCAAACAATGTCTGACATGGATATGTCCCCAGTATCCACCCCCTCTACCCCTGCTCCTCGGAGTTGTGGGGTGTGCAGAAAGTTTTTGTCATCCCGGGATCCCCACGATCGTTGCCCGCGGTGCAGGGTTCCTTGCGGGGACACCCGGTGTACCCTGTGCGAAGGTCTGGGGCCTGCGGAGTTTGAGCGGTACCGGCTGTACGTACAGTCCGTCTCCACCCCTGTGGTGGCCGGTTCGTCCGGTCGGGGTCCCCGTGCGGGTACCACCTCCTCGGCTGCGGCGGATCCCCTTGCGGCCCTCGGGCTGTCTGGGGCTTCCGTCGCCGCATTATTGTCGAAACTTGTGGACTCCAAGCTGGCGGCCTTATCGCAAGATAGGCCGCTGGCTGTTCCGTCCCCGGCCTCTTCGGTGGCCGCGGGTTCGGACGCGGGGTCCACCGGTACGGCGGCGGCTGCCGTGGTTACCGGTCCTTCCCCCGAACCGTTGCTTCCGCTATCGGTTAAGGACCGCGTTGCCATGGTGTATGACCTCTTCGAGGACATGCCAAAGCCCCTGCCGATACCGCGGGGAATCCACGGTTCCGTGGGTTCCTCCGAGGTATACGACGAGACGTCCGACAAGGCTTTCCCGGCATCAACCTTGCTGCGCGGGATTAAGCCTTCTTTGGAGAAGGCCTTCACGGCTGCCTCCGGTCGGGGTCTCCCGTTACCTCCCCCGTCGTGGAGAAAAGGGTCTTTCCCAGTACATGACCTTGCCTTTCCCGAGGCTGGTCCTTCTGCGGAAGCCCATGTGGAGCGTTTGGGGGTCCGTGCCCCACCGGTTGCCACGGTACCACAAGGTACCTTGCAACAGCTGGACACCCTCGCTCGACACTCCATGCTGGCAATGTCTCACGGAGACACATACCTGGCTGCAGCGGCCAGTCTGGTCGAAGGTTCTCCCACGGACCGAGACCAGCGCATTTACAACTGCTTGCTCGGTTTGAATGCTTCCCTGGAGTACGTTGCCGGGGCTTCGGCCTTTGTTTCCGGCACGTGCCATTTTCTTCGGCGCCAGTCGTATCTGGTTGCTTCAGGGTTGGACGCTGCTAATCAGGAGGTGCTCCTTTCGCAGCCTTGGTCTGCTCGGACCCTGTTTAATAACAAGATCCCTGGGGTTCTGAAGGAACAACAGGCCGCTGTGTCTGCCGAGGCCTCTCGGCACACACTGGATCTTGTGGGGTCCTTGCATAGGCGCCTGGGTGCCGCTCCGAAGCGGAGCGCGCCCCAGGATGCTGCGTCCGGCAGGCCTAAGGGGTCGGGTCCTTCTTCCTCCGGGAAGAAGCCCCGCTCTGAGGGCTCCGGTAAGGGTTCTCAGCAGCCCTTTCGCGGGAAGAAGGGGAACTGGGGGAAGCCCAAGTCGTCTAAGGACGGCAAGGGCCCTTCCAGGTGACTCTCATTGGAGGGGTTCGTATGCCGACAGCGCCAACTTCGGTTGGCCCGTAGGCGAACCCGAGTCACTTGGCCCTGGACAGTTGCGCCTGCCGCTGCCCGTCCGGCCCCCCTCTCTTTCCCCAGTGGGAGCCAGACTCCAGACTTACTGGGAGAATTGGGAACAAGTGTTCGACGACCCGTGGGTGGTCAACACGATTCGGTACGGCTATCGGCTCGATCTCATAGCGAATCCGCCGCTCACCGTTGCCCCGTCGGCAGGTTTCTATTCGGAAACCGATCTTCCCTTCCTCGCCGATGCCATCGGCAGGTTGGTGGAGAAGAGGGCAGTTCGGGAGTTAGCTCTACCAGAAATAACACCGGGGTTTTACTCCAGGATATTTCTCGTTCCCAAGAAGGACAGTGCCGAACTCAGAATGATTCACAACTTGAAATCGTTCAACGAGTTCTACCTGCGCAAACCGCCCAAGTTCAGAATGTTGAGCTTGACGGACCTGAAAGCACTGATCATGCCGGCCGACTGGCTAGCTTCGATCGACCTGAAGGATGCTTATCTGCATGTTCCGATTCACTCGGATCATCAGAAGTATCTCAGGTTTGTCTTTCAAGGCAGGCACTACGAGTGGGTTGTACTCCCATTCGGTCTTTCATCCGCTCCCTGGCTGTTCACCCGGTTAACCACCCCCATAGTGGGGTTCCTCCACCGGAGGGGTGTCCGGTACTTCGCGTACCTGGACGACTCGCTAGTAGCAAATCGAATGTCGGACACCCTGTCACGCCATCTCGTTTTCGCACGTCGGCTCTTGGAGCAATTGGGGTGGATTGTCAATCTCCCCAAGAGCGAGTTAACCCCTTCTCAGAACTTGCAGTTCATCGGAGGTCGGTTCAACACGGTGTCCCATCGCCTATTTGTCCCCCCAGACCGGTGGCACAAAATTCAGGCGATGATTGCCAAAGTCTTAGCGGTGCAACAGACTGTTCACTTTTGGGAACAGCTGTTAGGGCTACTTGTATCAGCCCAGGACTGCACCGAACGGGGTCGTCTCCAACTCCGCCCGCTGCAACGGTTTTTAATCCAGTTGTTAGCAACGGAGGTGAACAGTGCGACCGTCGCCCTCCCGGATCGGCTCCGACCGCATCTGGAGTGGTGGACGCTCCCTTACAATGTCTTATCAGGAGTCTCTATGCGGCCCTACCGGGCCACGTTGAACCTGTATACAGACGCCTCTCTAGTGGGCTGGGGCGCCCATCTAGAGGGGGAGGTGAGCTCGGGGCTGTGGTGCATAGACGAACTAGGTCTTCACATCAATTGTCTCGAGTTCAAGGCAGTGATCAACGCAGTCAATCACTGGAAGCATCGTCTCGTCGACGCCCGGCTCATGCTGGCGACCGACAACACGACGGTAGTGTCCTATGTGAACAAACTGGGGGGAACCCACAGTCACTCGCTACTCGATCTCACGTTCGAGTTTTACGCTCTGGTGGACAGTGTCCCGTGCCAGATACGCGCCCGTCACATCCCAGGTGTGCGGAACGTACTGGCCGATGCTCTATCGAGGCCTCAGGATCCGAGCCCCACAGAGTGGATGCTGAACCCAGTGGTGTTTCAGTGGCTGTGCGAACGTTTGGGTCGTCCGATGGTCGACCTGTTCGCAACACGGTTCAACAATCAACTCCCGTTGTTTGTATCACCAGTCCCGGACCCGAGGGCCATCGATCACGATGCTCTCGCGTTAGACTGGACGGGCTTGGACGCTTATGCTTACCCGCCGACAGCGTTGATACCACACATTCTAAGCCGGCTTCGAGGAGTTCGCTGTCGAATGTTACTGATCGCGCCCATGTGGCCGAACAGATCGTGGTACCCCGACTTGCTGACCCAGGTCACGCAGTCGCCACTCCCACTGCCTGTGAGACCGGATCTCTTGATCCACCCTCACACCCGTCAGCTTCATCCAAACGCAGGGCAGTTCAATCTGCACGCGTGGATGTTGTCACCGAGCGTCTGAGGAGTAAAGGTTTTTCTCGCCGGGCGTCTCGGGCATACGTTAGTATGCATCGTGATTCTACCCAGAAGGTGTATAATGCACGTTGGGTTATTTTCACGAAGTGGTGTTGTAAACATCACATTCATTCGCCAGATAAGGTATCTGTGCAGGATATTGCTCGTTTCATGTCTCACTTGCGAGAGACCCGGAAACTCTCCGGGGGTTCCATTGCCAACTATGTCTCGTCCGTTGCTACGGTACGGGACGTTGCTATGGGTACCAGTCTCTCCAAAGAGCCGGTGATACGGGGTATTATCAAGGGTTTCAAACAGCACGATCTTAAGAAGGGCCGCCTTCGGGCACCGGCCTGGGATCTTTCCCTAGTGTTGCAATCACTCACGGAAGCTCCGTATGAACCCTTGCATAGTGCTTCGTTCCGGCATGTGACTTGGAAAACAGCATTTCTCCTCTCCTTTGCCACGGCGGCACGTGTATCCGAAATTCATGCACTCGATGTCGCCAAGGTACGATTCGATAGGGGTGACGAAGGAGCGGTCCGCCTGGGCCTGCTCATGGGCTTCGTCGCCAAGAATCAGAGAGTCGGGCAAACGGAGAGAGAATTCACTGTAAGATCCCTCAAAGAAATCTTACATCCTGCTGATACTGAGGACAGAGCGCTGTGTCCGGTTAGGGCCCTTAAGTATTATCTTAAGGCTTCGAATGAACGTAGACAAGGGCGTGACCGTCTGTTCATATCGTGTAACCCTAATCGCACGGTTGACATAACTCGCAACTCGATTGCGTTGTGGCTTCGTTCTGTCATCAATCTGGCGTACCGGTCTCGGGGGTTACCGGTAGCGGGGTCAAACCCGCACGAGATCAGGGCGCTAGCGGCAACATTTGCCCTACACTCGAATATCTCTGTTCACAGAATATTACGAGGTTGTTACTGGCGTTCTGACTCGGTTTTTGCCAATCATTACCTCAGAAAGGTTTCTGATGAAGACGTGGAGGGGGTGCACCGTCTTGGGCCGCTGATCGCGGCACAAGCGGTCATCTAGGGGGTGTGTCCAGCGCAATTCCAAACTCCGCAGTCGTCAGTCCTTGCACGGTGGTCAATCTGGGTCGTCTCCAATGTTCCCACGCCGTGGGTACAGGAGTGGGGGTCCTGCAAACCAGCGCACTCACACCACAGGTGAGGCGGCTTTTTGTGTGTTTTGTCCTTATTTGTATTTTGACAATTATGCATTTAATTGTCTGTCGTGTATTCCAACCTTGCGATACATGCTTACGAATACTGGAATTAGGTCACGCGCCTAATGCATACTTTAAGTAGGCTTGCTCTGGGATATACGGTCTGAAGGAAATTAATTTCCCTCTTTTCGACTGTTTAACCTGATCTAAGATTTAGCTCACGCGGATACAGTGTTCTCATCCGCTGCGGCGATGAAATACCTATCCAGTGGGGCCGTTTGGAGTCACCAATCGTTTTGGCATTGACGATTGAGCCTTACGGTATGCGCTTGACAGTGCTTTGGTATTCCTATAGGGTAACGCCTAGCTAGGTGCATGCGCATCGAGTGCTTCCGCCTTGGTGTTTACTTCCGCTGGTCGGAAGGAACGCTAGCAGTCAGGATTCGGGTTGTAGGTGCTCCCCACCGCCTACTGTGGTAGTCAGCCTCGGTATAACAGTGGTAACGTATTACTTAATGTAATTTGTAGAATTTTCCTATTCGGAATATTCTATAAGTAATACGTTACCACTGGGCTGCTGCCCGCCCGTCCGTCCCCCGAGCACTTGCTCTCGCAGGAGACAAGAGTGAAGGGTGTCACATGGCAGCTAGGTGGCTACGCACGTGCTGCATGAGGTAATTGAGATCTCTGTGGTAGATTTCGCTATAGCAGCAGTTGTGGGAGACAACAGCCTCGGTATAACAGTGGTAACGTATTACTTATAGAATATTCCGAATAGGAAAATTCTACAACTTCCATCAAAACACATTTATTTGAACATAGTTGTTTGTTAATGACTCTAATGTTGTGTGTCCTAACAAATATCACAAGTGCAGTATTGAGAATGTTAAAAATGTGTTTTTGTTTATTGATAAACAGAGTCAGAAGAAGACTAGATTCCCCGAATGGCACGAGACTTTCACCTTCCTGCTTCCATCAGCAGACGTTGACTTCACCGTCACGATCACCGTCATGGACAAAGACCGTATTCGCAGTGACGATTTCATGGGAAGGGTAAGTGTTGTTAGCTGTGTGCAGTGACGACTTCATGGGAAGGGTAGGTGATGCTAGCGGTAGGCAGTGATGACTTCATGGGAAGGGTAGGTGATGTTTGTGGTAGGTAGTGATGACTTCATGGGAAGGGTAGGTGATGTTTGTGGTAGGCAGTGACGACTTCATGGGAAGGGTAGGTGATGTTTGTGGTAGGCAGTGACGACTTCATGGGAAGGGTAGGTGATGTTTGTGGTAGGTAGTGATGACTTCATGGGAAGGGTAGATGATGTTTGTGGTAGGTAGTGATGACTTCATGGGAAGGGTAGGTGATGCTAGCGGTAGGCAGTGATGACTTCATGGGAAGGGTAGATGATGTTTGTGGTAGGTAGTGATGACTTCATGGGAAGGGTAGATGATGTTTGTGGTAGGTAGTGATGACTTCATGGGAAGGGTAGATGATGTTTGTGGTAGGTAGTGATGACTTCATGGGAAGGGTAGGTGATGTTTGTGGTAGGTAGTGATTAATTCATGGGAAGGGTAGGTGATGTTTGTGGTAGGCAGTGATTAATTCATGGGAAGGGTAGGTTTTGCTACTTGTATGCAGTGATGACTTCATGGTAAGGGTAGGTTTTGCTACTTGTATGCAGTGATGACTTCATGGGAAGGGTAGGTGATGTTTGTGGTAGGTAGTGATGACTTCATGGGAAGGGTAGCTGATGTTAGTTGTATGCAGTAATAACTTCATGGGAAGGGTGGGTGTTGCTAGTGGTACACAGTAGGCAGTGACAACTTCATCTCACTTTAAATCAATGTTTGATGTGTTAATGTGTGTTGTAGATCCATCTCCGAGCAGATGACGTTCCCGAGGGCAGTTCCACCAGGAAGTGGCACTCAGTGGCTCACAAGACCCTCACGGCAACTGAGATACGCAGATGCAGGTACAGATCACTCCCCTTATCTCGATAAACAGAAGCAGGTACACACTGCTGTCCTTATCTCTATGCACAGATGCTGGTACAGACCACTGTCTGTATCTTGATCCATAGATGCAGGTACCAATCACCATCTGCATCTCTATACACATATACAGGGATAGACCTCTCTACATCTCTGTGCACACTTCCTATCAGGATTCCCAGTCAAAAAAGGTCCCTAGTGGCTGTTGTAAGAACCAAAAAGTAAAGATCAGTTTGTTACAGAATATGACTTGTTTGAATGTCGTCATACCCTAATGGCAGGGGAGTTGATCATGCTAACAACCACCAATTTTGTACAGACTGCCATGATATGAATGAAATATTGCTTTCTGCACTCACCTCTTTGTACTGATTTTGATGACTTGACATGCACTCCTCAAGCTCTTTGTTTCAATGTGCAGACTCGGGTACAGGCAGTTCTCTTTATGCTGGAAGGCAGAATGTGAATCAAAGGTTAATTAGTAGGCAGAAGGTTATGTTGTGAATTCTTTTTACAGTAAGATCGATCGTGGCAAGTTACGTCTGAAGCTGCAGCTGCTGGAGGAGCTGGTGCTGCCTTCGTCCTGCTACCATCCCGTCACAGATCTGCTGTTCCAGGCCATCAAACTAGAGGTGAGGTGCCCCATGATATATGTTACATTGATAAGTCTGTAGCTCCTGGCCATCAAACAAAAGGGGAGGTGTAACACGCTGTGCATTACACACCTCCTTTCCCCATCCTGCTACCAGCCCCACACAGGCCTGTATCTCCAGGCCATCACACAAAGGGTGAGGTGTACCATGCTTTGTAATACACATCCCCTAATATCCTCTACTTCAAACCTCGTCATTACTTTACAGTTTCTTTACACGATGATGATGAAATGCAGTCTAGTCCAACGAAACAAGCCACAGTCTGTTTCAAATGAAAGGTTGAAACCTAGAGTCTTCAAACCAATGAGTGCTCAGGTTACATTGCACAAATGGGAATATCTCTCTTGTAGCATGTCTTGTAGCCATGTACTCATCGACTCTACACATTTCTTCAATATCAGTCAATGGTAGGGTTCGCACAAAGTTTTGGTACACAAGTCACTGTTACAATGCAGAGCGGTGCTATGTATTCACTGGTGATGGAGGAAGGTGGTTTATGAAAACCTGTGAAGTGTTGATGATGGTCCTACTACTGCTTGCAATGTACAATATGTTATGATATAAAACTATTACGAAAGTAGCGGACATGCAACTTTAATTTGATAATTTGATATAATGTATAGGAGTGGTCAGGGGCGGTCGGGTAGCCTAGTGGTTAAAGCGTTCGCTCGTCACGGTGAAGACCCAGATTCGATTCCCGACATGTACAATGTGTGAAGCCCATTTCTGGTGTCCCCCGCCGTGATATTGCTGGAATATTGCTAAAAGTGGTGTAAAACCATACCCACTCACTCACTAAGTTTGATCATCCATCTTCAAGATTTAAAACTTCTCTGATGACCACATTGATATCAATGAGAGTTGCAAAATGTCGGCCAAGATGACAAGTGAGCTGTCTCATTTCAGAACTGTGAACTAGGTTTGTACATATGGCGCACTCTGGCAAAGAACAGGACTCTAGAGCTCAGCGAGGTTGCAGGATCACTCATCCGATTTTCACTCAGCCATGATGTAGTGGTTGACTTCCTCGACCGAGTGACACGAATGGATGTGGAGGACACAGGTAGGCAACTGTCACAATCATCAGTGTAAGTCAGGGGACACAGGTAGGCAACTGTCACAACCATCAGTGTAAGTCAGGGGACACAGAGAGGCAACTGTCACAACCATCAGTGTAAGTCAGGGGACACAGGTGGGCAACTGTCACAGCCATCAGTGTAAGTCAGGGGACACAGGTAGGCAACTGTCACAGCCATCAGTGTAAGTCAGGGGACACAGGTAGGCAACTGTCACAACCATCAGTGTAAGTCAGGGGACACAGGTAGGCAACTGTCACAACCATCAGTGTAAGGCGGGGGGCAGGTAGGCAACTGTCACAACCATCAGTGTAAGTCAGGGGACACAGGTAGGCAACTGTCACAACCATCAGTGTAAGTCAGGGGACACAGAGAGGCAACTGTCACAACCATCAGTGTAAGTCAGGGGACACAGGTAGGCAACTGTCACAACCATCAGTGTAAGTCAGGGGACACAGGTAGGCAACTGTCACAGCCATCAGTGTAAGTCAGGGGACATAGGTAGGCAACTGTCACAACCATCAGTGTAAGTCAGGGGACACAGGTAGGCAACTGTCACAACCATCAGTGTAAGTCAGGGGACACAGGTAGGCAACTGTCACAGCCATCAGTGTAAGTCAGGGGACACAGGTAGGCAACTGTCACAACCATCAGTGTAAGTCAGGGGACATAGGTAGTCAACTGTCACAACCATCAGTGTAAGTCAGGGGACACAGGTAGGCAACTGTCACAACCATCAGTGTAAGTCAGGGGACACAGGTAGGCAACAGTCACAGCCATCAGTGTAAGTCAGGGGACACAGGTAGGCAACTGTCACAACCATCAGTGTAAGTCAGGGGACACAGGTAGGTAACTGTCACAGCCATCAGTGTAAGTCAGGGGACACAGGTAGGAAACTGTCACAACCATCAGTGTAAGTCAGGGGACACAGGTAGGCAACTGTCACAGCCATCAGTGTAAGTCAGGGGACACAGGTAGGCAAAATTAGAAGCATTCTGATGATATCCTATCTTCCTCTTCAGCCAATCCAAACACCTTGTTCAGGGGGAACACTCTAGCTACCAAGTCTATGGACCAGTTTATGAAGGTACGTACTGCAGTTTCACATTGGATGTTCTTAATCTTCAGAAGGTTTTATTGAGGCACCGGTAATATGGTATGCATTGTCAGTTCAAATAAATTTTAAGTCTTTTGTAACTTCATTGCTTTGATGGTGATTGATCACATTGCAGATCGTAGGAATGCCATACCTGCATCACACTCTGTCCAATGAGATTGACCGGATCTTCAGTGAGAAGAAGACTGTGGAACTGGACCCTCATAGGGTCAACAGTGTCAGAAGGTCAGCAGTGCTGTGTTCTAGATTGATGTGGTGCCCCGTCGGGGTTCCGGGTTATCATAGATTCCCAGAATGTTATGCTTCTTGAAAGAGCTGCCCCGTTGGGGTTCTGGGTTTGAATAGGCCCCAGCATCCTATGCTTGTCCAAAGAGCCACCCCTTGGGAATTCGGGGTTAGAATAGGTCCCCTGCATCCTATGCTTGTCCAAAGAGCCACCCCTTGGGAATTCGGGGTTAGAATAGGTCCCCAACAACCTGTGCTTGTCATAAGAGTAACCCTGTCCGGATTCCAGGTTAGGATAGGTCCCCAACAACTTGTGCTTGTCATAAGAGTAACCCTGTCCAGATTCCAGGTTAGGATAGGTAACCAACAACCTGTGCTTGTCGCAAGTCTTACCCCGTTGGGATCCCAGGTTAGGATAGGTAACCAACAACCTGTGCTTGTCGCAAGTCTTACCCCGTTGGGATCCCAGGTTAGGATAGGTCCCCAACAACTCGTGGTTGTCATTAGAGTCTCACCCCGTTGGATTTCCAGGTTAGAATAGGTCCCCAACAACCTGTGCTTGTCATAAGAGTAACCCTGTCCGGATTCCAGGTTAGGATAGGTCCCCAACAACTTGTGCTTGTCATAAGAGTAACCCTGTCCGGATTCCAGGTTAGGATAGGTAACCAACAACCTGTGCTTGTCGCAAGTCTTACCCCGTTGGGATCCCAGGTTAGGATAGGTAACCAACAACCTGTGCTTGTCGCAAGTCTTACCCCGTTGGGATCCCAGGTTAGGATAGGTCCCCAACAACTCGTGGTTGTCATAAGAGTCTCACCCCGTTGGATTTCCAGGTTAGAATAGGTCCCCAACAACCTGTGCTTGTCTGAAGGGCCACCCCTTGGGAATTCCTGCAAGGCCATACAATACTTTGGTACATTTTGCAGCATGAAATGTCATAAATGATAATGCATGAGAAACTCCCTACATGAGACATGTATATTGTGTACCTAGGCAACGAAAACTTATAAGGCAAGGCAGTTGAAGACCTAGGCAAATTTTGGAGAGCATGAAATATGGATTGACAATACATGAATAACTCCTCATACAGCTAACATGGCCTGAATGACTTGTGCATGATGTATCAGACCAAATGAAAAACAAGGCAAACATGGCATGGGATGGGAGGGTGGGTAATGAAACCCAATCTTTTGGCAGTGGTGAAAGGCTGCGTGGCTGCTGAAAAACTAACTATATTCTGGCTATGTTCGCAGCCTGCCTGACAGGAAGTTAAAGTTATGTTACTACATGACATTTACCATTATGTATGAAGAACCCTTTAACATTTACAGTACATTTTGAACACTACTTTGCTTGTCTTTCCATGGAAATTCTGAGGAAGTAGGACTGCCTCCGAGGTCTAGTGGTAGAGCGTCCGCCCGGAGAGCGGAAGGCCCGGGGTTCGATCCCTAGCCGTGTCATACCAAAAGACGTTAAAAGATGGTACTTGTTGTTACCCTGTCTGGCGCTCGGCATAAAGGGGCTGAAACAAGGACTGGTCGGCTCGGAGACAGTATACTGTGTCTGAGTAGGGTATTCATGTTAAACTGCAGCATGGTATATCAGTGAGCTAGCACTATAAATCGGCATTAGTCTTGACTAGTACAAGCAGCCACACACACACGTGCATGCACATCACTATATAAGTGCAATAATCTTGGTTGCAACATTAAACACAATTTCACCTCACCTCACCTCACCTCACCTCGCCTCGCCTCGCCTCGCCTCGCCTCACCTCACCTCACCTCACCTCTGGGGAAGTGGCCAATACCAAAGGTTGTCTTCCCATGAGAATTTCAAGACAGAAGTGATTCCCAAACATAATACTTGTCATCACACAAGAATTCTAAGACATGTAAGAGGTCCTGAGTACCACATCAATAGCTAATTCCCAGATTTGTATTGTAGACGACACAGTATTCACCGCGAGTCGGAGGAGAACATCCTCCAGTCTAGTCAGGAGGTGCTGGAGGGCTACATGGGGGACATCATGGAGCGCATCATCCACTCCGCCCGCGACTGCCCCCACATCATGAGGATGGTGTTCCGCAACCTCCAGATGACCGTCAGGAAGAAGTGGCCCGAGACAGAGTACGAGGTAGGGAGTGGTGTGCAAGAGCTCACTAAATTGGTTGCCCCGATGTCTACTGGTTGATGCCAAGCAACTTGTGGGTTCCTATTCTTCCCCATGATGATTGTGATGGATCTAGGGGGTTCAATTAACTGGACATGGTGTCACATTTCAAATACACAGAACAGGATATCTTTGCCAACAATAACACTATCAATTTATTGACACGAATCAATCACTCAAATTAGCAAGTGTATGTATTAATAAAGACATATATTAAATTACTCAATAAATATATAATATAACAGCTAAAACAGCGCCAAAGATAAGTTTGTGGCAGGGTGGTAATCCCAGTCAAATTTCTAAGGCATTAATTATTCTGTGTTTACAGTGTAGGCATTAGTGAACACTAAGTAGAGTAGACCACTTGAGTGCAGGGGTGCGTGAAACAGTGTGTACACTAAAACAACAACTTTTGTAGGCATTAGTCACTGTAGGCATTTGTCACTGTAGGCATTAGTAGACCTAACCATATGTAAGCTACTGACATACTCACAATATCAAGCGACTGCATTCATTCACTGCTGATCTCAATCTAACGGGATCTTAACCGTAAAAAAACCATGACATCACAACCAGCTGATTGTATCTAACAGTAAACAAACCATGACATCTGGTCATCGAACGAGTGTGTACTGTAATATTATTTTATAGCACAAAGCATACGACTAATATAACAACTTAACAAACTGACAGAAGTTAAATAACTTAAAATATGGCACTTTATGCAATATTTGTAATGTCACTGAGGGAACACAAATATCGATGACATCATGATTCAAAATGGCGTGGCCCAGTAACCTGGCATGTCACTGTATGCAGTCAGTCATCGAAATACAAACTTAAGGTAATTTACGCAAAATAAACATGATTCCTACTTCTATTAAGTTATTACTCACGTTAACACAAATGTTCTACAAAAATTAACTTGGAATAGTGCTTATTACTGAAGATAAATGATGAACGAAAACAGGACAATGCTACGCAGGATAATGTAAACTCTTGAACCTAGCAATGATCTTTTGTGTGTAGGCGCCAGATCAGTATTCATGGATGTATCCATTCTGGTAACTTTCACTTTTTGAATTCCTTATGTTTTACAATAAATTCGATATTATCAGACATGATGAACAGGCAAATCAAAACTTGTACATGGGATATGAATGTAGTGATATAGCTTAAGGTCCACATTACCTGAAATATCAACACAGACTGAATTATCTTCCCTGTTTTCAAGGACATTCCATACCTGGCTGTAAGCGGCTTCCTCTTTCTCCGGTTCTTCGCTCCAGCCATCTTGTCCCCGAAGTTGTTCTCCCTCCACCCAATACATGCCAACAGGAAGATCAGTCGAACCCTCACCCTGCTGGCGAAGGTAGGTTGTGGACTCATATACACGACTCAGTACATGATATCACATGCCAACAGGAAGATCAGTCAAACCCACATCCTGCTGGTCAAGGTAGGTCATCGACTCACTACATAATATACACGCCAACAGGAAGATCAGTCAATTCCTCACCCTGCTGGCCAAGGTAGGTCGTGGACTCACTACTTCATATTACATGCCAACAGGAAGATCAGTCGAACCCTCACCTTGCTGGCAAAGGTAGGTCATTGACTCACTACATCACATACATGCCAACAGGAAGATCAGTTGAACCAACATCCTGCTGGCAAAGGTAGGTCACCGACTCACTACATCACATACATGCCAACAGGAAGATAAGTCCAACCCTCACCCAGCTGGCAAAGGTAGGTCATCGACTCACTACATCACATACATGCCAACAGGAAGATTAGTCGAACCCTCACCCTGCTGGCAAAGGTAGGTCGTGGACTCACTACATCATATACAAGTCAATGGGAATATCAGTCAAACACTCGCCCTGCTGGCAAAGGTAGGTCATGGACTCACTACATCATATACATGCCAACAGGAAGATCTGTCAAACACTCACCCTGCTGGCAAAGGTAGGTCGCCAACTCACTACATCATATACATGCCAACAGGAAGATCAGTCGAACCATCACCCTGCTGGCCAAGGTAGGTCGTCAACTCACTGCATCATATACAAGACTCGCTACACCATATACTTGCTGGTTGCCCATAGCCTTTTTAAAACAATAATAGCTCTTAGTGCTATACTTCAACATTTTCAAAAAACTGTTTGTGTGTATAACTTTGATATATTATGACATGTTTCAAAATCCATAGCTTGTTACTGTTGTTACATGGCTGAAACAAAACTTTGAACTCACTTCTACCTTCCAGCTGACCCAGAGCATGGGGAACCTGAACGTCCAGGGCAAGGAGACCTGGCTGGAGCCCCTAGCACCACTCATACATACTTACGTTGGCTGTGTCAGAGAGTTTATTGACGACCTGGTCACAGTATTTGATTCTGACAGTAAGTACTTTGTATTTTTTCAAGTATATGTCATGAGTATTATGTAATCTTATGAAATTGAATGCCCTTTTCACTGTCAAACAGCCATCTCTGGAAATATTAACACCAGGAGAGAAAAAACTTCTGAAAATGTATCACAAGAAATGTGTATTTGAAAGAATCGCTCACACTAATTTGTCAAAGATCATTGTTGGAGAGCCAACTTTTCAGATTCATGTTAGTCATCCATGAAACATCATCATTACTCCGTTACTGTACACTACGTTCCTCCATCACTTATGAATACATAGAGTTGCTCTGCTGTGTAAGTTGCTATATTTTACCCTTAAACCAAGCCACAGCCTGGCTCCAGTGAGAGGCAATCCCATAAAAATCAGGAATCTTTTACACCAATACTATAGTTCTCTGCGTGAAGATGTAACCTCCATACATGGTGTTTTGGCCGAATTTTTACCACCAATTTCATTGAAGGATGTTTGGGTCTTCCATTGGTAATGCTGGTGGTGCAGTTGCCAGGCTGTCATGATATAGGTAGAATACCAGAATGATGAAATCTGATTGGTCCACGTGAGCTTGATAACATACTATGTATCCCGCCTTGGAGGGAAGTAAATCTCTCAGCAGGTGAATAAATCCCTTAGACCCCGCCACAAGCAAGACTTGAGTTCTGAGAGGCAGAATAAATCCGTTATACCCAAATTCCAAGCAAAAAACTGCACAATATTCCGTTGCAATGAAAATCATATGACATAGCAAACCTAACATGGGACGCCTCTGTCTTGTGGTATGAAACCTAAAGCGGGACTCTTAGTCTTGTGGTATGAAACCTAAAGCGGGACGCCTCCAGCTTGTGGTATGAAACCTAACGCGGGATGCCTCCAGCGTGTGGTATGAAACCTAACGCGGGAGGCCATCAGCTTGTGGTATGAAACCTAACACCGGACGCCTCCAGCGTGTGGTATGAAACCTAACGCGGGAGGCCATCAGCTTGTGGTATGAAACCTAACACGGGACGCCTATGTCTTGTGGTATGAAACCTAACACGGGACGCCTCCAGCTTTTGATATGAAACCTCATGTGGGACAGCTCCATCTTGTGGTATGAAACCTAACACGGGACGCCTCCGCCTTGTGGTATGAAACCTAACGCGGGACGCCTCCAGCTTGTGGTATGAAACCTAAAGCGGGACCCATCCAGCTTGTGGTATGAAACCTAACACGGGATGCCTCCAGCTTGTAGTATGAAACCTAACATGGGATGCCTCCGTCTTGCGGTATGAAACCTAACGCGGGATGCCTCCGTCTTGTGGTATGAAACCTAACACGGGATGCCTCCAGCTTGTGGTATGAAACCTAACGCGGGACGCCTCCAGCTTGTGGTATGCAACCTATCGAGGGACGCTTCCAGCTTGTGGTATGAAACCTAACGTGGGATGCCTCCAGCTTGTGGTATGAAACCTAACGCGGGATGCCTCCAGCTTGTGGTATGAAACCTAACGCGGGACGCCTCCGTCTTGTGGTATGCAACCTAACGAGGGGCGCTTCCAGCTTTTGGTATGAAACCTAACGCGGGATGCCTCCGTCTTGTGGTATGAAACCTAATGTGGGACGCCTATGTCTTGTGGTATGAAACCTAACACGGGATGCCTCCAGCTTGTGGTATGAAACCGAAAGCGGGATGCCTCCATCTTGCGGTATGAAACCTAACGCGGGATGCCTCTGTCTTTTGGTATGAAACCTAACGCGGGATGCCTCTATCTTGTGGTATGAAACCTAACACAGGATGCCTCTGTCTTGTTGTATGAAACCTAACGCGGGATGCCTCCGTCTTGTGGTATGAAACCTAACGCGGGATGCCTCTGTCTTGTTGTATGAAACCTAACATGTGATTCCTCTGTCTTGTGGTATGAAACCTAACATGTGATTCCTCTTTCTTGTTGTATGAAACCTTACGCGGGATGCCTCTGTCTTGTTGTATGAAACCTAACGCGGGATGCCTCTGTCTTGTTGTATGAAACCTAACATGTGATTCCTCTGTCTTGTTGTATGAAACCTAACATGGGATGCCTCCGTCTTGTGGTATGAAACCTAACATGTGATTCCTCTGTCTTGTGGTATGAAACCTAACGAGGGACGTACCCCTTGTGATCCTGCTACAACTTATAAGATGCATGTGTTTGTACAGAGAACCACCGATGTTCAGGCCTGTCCCCGACCCACCAGAAGGATGAAGTGATACTGAGGCATGGTGTGCTACTGAAGTGCCGCTACAAGACCAAGTCCTGGCTGCGACCCCTTGTCTTCAAGAAGTGCAACTTCTGGCTCACTCGAACCACCTTGTCTTACACCAAGTCACAGTCAGAAGAGGTGAGAGATGCACACCTTCAAGGACAAACCGCAACATTATTTGTTTTTGAGATCTTTTTTCTCAAAATGACATGTGGGATTCATTTTTTAAAATGACATGCCAAAAGTGTCTTATGGCATGTTACTTGCTCAGAAACTGATTGAATACCAAAGATAAGGGGTTATAGATTGTGGAGTTAAGTGTTTCGTGTTCAGAATCTGAGGACAGACTTTCATATTGCCTTATACAGTGTTTGAAACAAAGCATGAAAGTGAGTTGGGTCTTTGACCATGTTTTCTGAATGTTGTGTAAAATATTGTGTGATTAGAAGATAAAACTTCTTTGTTTTCCTTGTAGTGCGTGGTTACCTGTAGATTTAATCATGCTAAATTGAATTTGGAACCGTAATCTACAGGAAGCCTAGTTCTACAATGAAAACACTTTAGTATATCTCCATTCTACCATGATGAAATGAAACGCGAAGTCTGTGGTGTAAGCAGTGATTGTGAGTGAAGCGGCATGTCTAGTCATTTGAATTGGTTGTCGATTTTATTTAATCATACATCGATGATACCCTTTCAACAAAATATGGTCTTGTATATGCTCAAGTTGTGTCTTTTCACATCATCATACTGAATGTGCAGCACAGCTACTTCGTAAGCCAACATGCAGTGGGCACCCTGATTAAACAAGCCTTGCCAAACCACTCATTGTGTCACAGAAAATTGGACAACACAGTTGGTTATAGAAAAGCGCCAAATTATTAAGCTATCTGTTGTCACCAAAACTTGAAATACATTCTCTTGGTGATTTCTTTTTGTGTTTTCTGCCCAAAATGATTTGCTTATGCTTACCATGTTGTTTGATGCTTATGCTTACCATGTTGTGTGATGCTTATGCTTACCATGTTGTTTGATGCTTATGATTACCGTGTCGTGTGATGCTTATGCCTACCGTGTCGTGTGATGCTTATGCTTACCATTCCGTGTGATGCTTATGCTTACCATGTTGTGTGATGCTCATGCTTACAATGTTGTTTGATGCTTATGCTTACCATGCCGTGGGATGCTTATGCTTACCGTGCCATGTGATGCTTATGCTATAAGTATTGCTTGATGCTTATGCTTACCATGGCGTGTGATGCTTATGCTATCAGTATTGTTTGATGCTTATGCTTACCATGTTGTTTGATGCTTATGCTTACCGTGTCATGTGATGCTTATGCTACCAGTGTTGTTTGATGCTTATGCTTACTGTGTCGTGTGATGCTTATGCTTACCATGTTGTGTGATGCTTATGCTTACCATGTCATGTGATGCTTATGCTTACCATGTTGTGTGATGCTTATGCTTACCATGTTGTTTGATGCTTATGTTTACCGTGTCGTGTGATGCTTATGCTTACCATGTTGTGTGATGCTTATGCTTACCATGTCATGTGATGCTTATGCTTACCATGTTGTTTGATGCTTATGCTTACCATGTTGTTTGATGCTTATGCTTACCGTGTTTTTGATATTTATGCTCACCATGTTGTCTGATGCTTATGCTTACCGTGTCGTGTGATGCTTATGCTTACAGTGCCGGGTGATGCTTATGCTTACCATGCTGTGTGATGCTTATGCTTACCATGCTGTTTGATGCTTATGCTTACCGTGTCGTGTGATGCTTATGCTTACCATGTTGTTTGATGCTTATGCTTACCATGTTGTTTGATGCTTATGCTTACCGTGCCGTGTGATGCTTATGCTTACCATGCCATGTGATGCTTATGCTTACCATGCCGTGTGATGCTTATGCTTACCATGCCATGTGATGCTTATGCTTACCGTGCCGTGTGATGCTTATGCTTACCGTGCCATGTGATGCTTATGCTTACTATGCCATGTGATGCTTATGCTTACCGTGCCATGTGATGCCTATGCTTACCATGCTGTCTGATGCTGATACTTACTGTGCCTCGTGATGCTTATGCTTACCGTGCCGTGTGATGCTTATGCTTACCATGCCGTGTGATGCTTATGCTTACCATGCCGTGTGATGCTTATACTTACCATGTCGTGTGATGCTTATACTTACCATGCCGTGTGATGCTTATGCTAACCATGTTGTTTGATGCTTATGCTAACCATGTCGTGTGATGCTTATGCTTACCATGCCGTGTGATGCTTATGCTTACCTTGCTGTGTGATGCTTATGCTAACTGTGCTGTGTGATGCTTATGCTAACCATGTTGTGTGATGCTTATGCTAACCATGTTGTTTGATGCTTATGCTTACCATGCCGTGTGATGCTTATGCTAACCATGCCGTGTGATGCTTATGCTAACCATGTTGTTTGATGCTTATGCTAACCATGTCGTGTGATGCTTATGCTTACCGTCCCATGTGATGCTTATGCTTACCTTGCTGTGTGATGCTTATGCTAACTGTGCTGTGTGATGCTTATACTTACCGTGCCATGTGATGCTTATGCATACCATGCCGTGTGATGCTAATACTTACCGTGCCATGTGATGCTTATGCTTACCATGTCGTGTGATGCTTATGCTTACCATGCCGTGTGATGCTTATGCTTACCGTGCCATGTGATGCTTATGCTTACCATGCTGTGTGATGCTTTTGCTCACTGTGCCATGTGATGCTTATGCTTACCGTGCTGTGTGATGCTTATGCTTACCATGCTGTGTGATGCTTTTGCTTACTGTGCCGTGTGATGCTTATGCTTACCATGTTGTTTGATGCTTATGCATACTGTGCCATGTGATGCTTATGCTTACTGTGCTGTGTGATGCTTATGCTTACCGTGCCGTGTGATGCTTATGCTTACCATGTTGTTTGATGCTAATGCTTACTGTGCCGTGTGATGCTTATGCTTACCATGTTGTTTGATGCTTATGTTGTCCCTGTTGTCTGATGCTGATACTTACTGTGCCTCGTGATGCTTATGCTTACCATGTTGTTTGATGCTTATGCTTACCATGTTGTTTGATGCTTATGCTTACCATGTTGTTTGATGCTTATGCTTACCATGTTGTTTGATGCTTATGTTATCCCTGTTGTCTGATGCTTATACTTACTGTGCCTCGTGATGCTTATGCTTACCATGTTGTTTGATGCTTATGCTTACCATGTTGTTTGATGCTTATGCTTACCATGTTGTTTGATGCTTATGCTTACTGTGCCGTGTGATGCTTATGCTTACCATGTTGTTTGATGCTTATGCTTACGATGTTGTTTGATGCTTATGTTATCCCTGTTGTCTGATGCTTATGCTTACTGTGTTGTGTTTCCAGGCAAGGAAGGTGATCCCCGTGTCCCAGGTGTGTGCAGTAGAGAAGCTGGACTATGGAGCCCTCAGCAAGTCTAACATGGGCCAGATCCTCATCCGTGACCCCGAGGACACCAACAACCTGGACTACGGCATCCTCTACTTTCAGGCCAAGGTTGGTGCCGGTTATTGCATCATGCATTTTTCTTTCTATTGTATGCAGTATTGAGTATAACAAAATGTTACATAAAATGGGGCAGAGGCCACAAAATATGATACAGTCCTAAGACTGATCTCACCACCCTTGTACTAAATCACCAGTCCCAAAGTAAATGTTATTGTTTATCAGGTTTGCCTGGTGACACAGGTTATGTCAGTGAGAGCCTGAGAATGTCAGTCATCAAGTCATGAAACTATTCTGTGAACTTGCTCTGTTCAAAACTGGAATTACATTCCCAAATGTCTTGTACCCACCCAGGATGTGAATGAGTTGCTGTTTGTGAGTTTCCCATTTCTCCTTGTACCCACCCAGGATGTGAATGAGTTGCTGTTTGTTAGTTTCCCATTTCTCCTTGTACCCACTCAGGATGTGAATGAGTTGCTGTTTGTGAGTTTCCCATTTCTCCTGGTACCCACCCAGGATGTGAATGAGTTGCTGTTTGTGAGTTTCCCATTTCTCCTTGTACCCACTCAGGATGTGAATGAGTTGCTGTTTGTGAGTTTCCCATTTCTCCTGGTACCCACCCAGGATGTGAATGAGTTGCTTTTTGTGAGTTTCCCATTACTCCTTGTACCCACTCAGGATGTGAATGAGTTGCTGTTTGTGAGTTTCCCATTTCTCCTTGTACCCACCCAGGATGTGAATGAGTTGCTGTTTGTGAGTTTCCCATTTCTCCTTGTACCCACTCAGGATGTGAATGAGTTGCTGTTTGTGAGTTTCCCATTTCTCCTTGTACCCACTCAGGATGTGAATGAGCTGACATCCTGGATGTCGGCCATCAGGAAGACATGTCAGTTTAACCAGTGCCGAGTTGAAGCCTACCACCCCGGGGTTTACAAGGGAGAGAAGTGGAGCTGCTGCCACAGGCCACTACCTACAGGTGAGTCACTACCTACAGGTGAGTCACTACCTACAGGTGAGTCACTACTCACAGGTGAGCCACTACCTACAGGACATGACCCACAGGTGAGCCACTACCTACAGGGCATGACCCACAGGTGAGTCACTACCTACATGACACTACCTACAGGTGAGTCACTACCTACAGGTGAGTCACTACCTACAGGTGAGTCACTATCCACAGGTGAGCCACTACCTACAGGACATGACCCACAGGTGAGTCACTACCTACATGACACTACCTACAGGTGAGTCACTACCTACAGGTGAGTCACTACCTACAGGTGAGTCACTACCTACAGGTGAGTCACTACCTACAGGTGAGCCACTATCTACAGGTGAGCCACTACCCACAGGTGAGCCACTACCTACAGGTGAGTCACTACCCACAGGTGAGCCACTACCTACAGGTGAGTCAATACCTACAGGTGAGTCAATACCTACAGGACACTACCAATAGGTCAGTTACTACGTACAGGTCACTACCCACAGATGCTACTACCCACAGGTTAGTCACTACCTACAGGTGAGTCACTACCCACAGGTGAGCCACTACTTACAGGACATGACCCACAGGTGAGTCACCACCTGCAGGACACTACCAATAGGTCAGTTACTACGTACATGCCACTTCCCACAGATGCTACTACCTACAGGACACGACCCAAAGGTGAGTCACTACCTACAGGACACTATCCATAGGTCAGTTAGTATGGTATCCACGGCCCCAATACCTAAAGGAGAGGCACTACCCACTGGTCACGCTTTTTGAAAATCCTTTTATGTCTACTAGCCAAAACATAGCTATTTTTAATAGTCATACATCAATTAGCAATATTAAATGACAGTCAATTGATATTTTTGGCAAGATATACAGCGCCTTTGATTAAAAAAATTAGAACACAGTTTGGTCTGGTGTGAGTGGTTAGAAATGAGTAAAGTGTAATTTGTTGTTGCTGCAGCAACTGGGTGTAGTCAGACATATCACGGAGTGATGTTGGGAGACTGGCAGGATCCCCTGGACCCTCGGCTGGAGACACAGATCATCTTCTCACAGCTCCTCAACAGCAGGGACAACCTCAGGTCAGACCCTCATCACCGTACCCATACATTTGTCAGTCATCATCCCAGCCATACATCTGTCGGCCATCATGCCACCCATACATCTGTCAGTAATCGCCCCACCCATACATCTGTCAGTCATCACCCACCCATACATCTGTCAGTCATCACCCCACCCATACATCTGTCAGTCATCACCCACCCATACATCTGTCAGTCATCACCCCCCATACATCTGTCAGTCATCACCCCACCCATACATTGGTCAGTCATCACCCACCCATACATCCGGCAGTCATCACCCCACCCATACATCTTTTAGTCATCACCCCACCCATACATGTGTCAGTCATCACCCCACCCATACATCTGTCAGTCATCACCCACCCATACATCTGTCAGTCATCACCCCACCCATACATGTGTCAGTCATCACCCCACCCATACATCTGTCAGTCATCACCCCACCCATACATGTGTCAGTCATCATCCCACCCATACATCTGTCAGTCATCACCCCACCCATACATCTGTCAGTCATCACCCAACCCATACATCTGTCAGTCATCACCCAACCCATACAACTGTCAGTCATCACCCCACCCATACATCTGTCCATCGTCTCCCCTATCATTCATCTGTCCATCGTCTCCCCACCCATACATCTGTCCATTGTCTCCCCACCAATACATCTGTCAGTCATCACCCACCCACACATCTGTCAGTCATCACCCCTCCCATACATGTGTCAGTCATCACCCACCCATACATCTGTTAGTCATCACCCCACCCATACATCTGTCACTCATCACCCCACCCATACATGTGTCAGTCATCACCCCTCCCATACATCTGTTAGTCATCACCCCACCCATACATCTGTCAGTCATCACCCACCCATACATCTGTCAGTCATCACCCCACCCATACATCTGTCAGTCATCACCCACCCATACATCTGTCAGTCATCATCCCACCCATACATCTGTCACTCATCACCTGCCCATACATGTGTCAGTCATCACCCCACCCATACAATTGTCAGTCATCACCCCTCCCATACATCTGTCAGTCATCACCCACCCATACATCTGTCAGTCATCACCCCACCCATACAATTGTCAGTCATCACCCACCCATACATCTGTTAGTCATCACCCCTCCCATACATTTATCAGTCATCACCCCACCCATACATCTGTCAGTCATCACCCACCCATACATCTGTCAGTCATCATCCCACCCATACATCTGTCACTCATCACCTGCCCATACATGTGTCAGTCATCACCCCACCCATACAATTGTCAGTCATCACCCCTCCCATACATCTGTCAGTCATCACCCACCCATACATCTGTCAGTCATCACCCCACCCATACAATTGTCAGTCATCACCCACCCATACATCTGTTAGTCATCACCCCTCCCATACATTTATCAGTCATCACCCCACCCATACATCTGTCAGTCATCACCCCACCCATACATCTGTCAGTCATCACCCCACCCATACATCTGTCAGTCATCACCCACCAATACATCTCTCAGTTATCACCCACCCATACATCTGTCCATCGTCACCCCACCCATACATCTGTCAGTCATCATCCCACCCATACATCTGTCACTCATCACCTGCCCATACATGTGTCAGTCATTACCCCACCCATACAATTGTCAGTCATCACCCCTCCCATACATCTGCCCATCGTCACCCCACCCATACATCTGTCAGTCATCACCCACCCATACATCTGTCAGTCATCATCCCTCCCATACATCTGTCCATCGTCACCCCACCCATACATCTGTTAGTCATCACCCCTCCCATACATTTATCAGTCATCACCCCACCCATACATCTGTCAGTCATCACCCCACCCATACATCTGTCAGTCATCACCCCACCCATACATCTGTCAGTCATCACCCACCAATACATCTGTCAGTTATCACCCACCCATACATCTGTCAGTCATCACCCCACCCATACATCTGTCAGTCATCACCCCACCCATACATCTGTCAGTCATCACCCACCAATACATCTGTCAGTTATCACCCACCCATACATCTGTCAGTCATCACCCCACCCATACATCTGTCAGTCATCACCCACCAATACATCTGTCAGTTATCACCCACCCATACATCTGTCAGTCATCACCCCACCCATACATCTGTCAGTCATCACCCCACCCATACATTTGTGGGGTCATCCATGGATCGTGAAACCTGTGTTATGGCCACGAATAGCTATTTTGGTTTGGGTTGTTTAGGGGAGCTAACTCTGTTCAGTTTAATAATAAGTGATTCATTTATTCAGAAATTAGTTCATCTAGGTGATGATTGGTTGTGCCAGGATCCACTGAACTTGGGTTCAAACCCCAAATAGAGCGGATATACTTCTCATGGGTTTCACCAAAGTAGTAAACATTTGACCTGTGTCACTGGAGCGTTTACCTGAGAGGCCATAATAAAAATGATATTCTTCTGAAACATTACCGTATATCACCATCTATAAAGCGACCCCACGTATAAGGCGACCCCCCTGTACTAGCCTTCAAAATCGATGCTAATATATATACCCCGTCTATAAAGCAAATCGGAATGAAGCCAACATCACCACATACACAATCCTGACATTTGCAAGAAAAACGTGTTTGTCTTCCGCAGAAAAAATTACATCGTATCCCTTCAGCAAATTCAGGGAAATGAACAGATCACAAAAAATAAACTTTGTCAAGACAAATTTGAAATTTGAGATAAAAAAAACCACCAGACATGATGATTTACCGATTAAATTGTATTTCCTGTTCTGATAGGAATTGTTTATTTTATCAGGAATAATTTATTTTAATATCATGTTATTTTAGTTGCCATATATATGTGAAATAAATTGATAAGCGTAGCACTTTGCTACAGCTGATCGCTATTGCTGGATATTTTGTCGTATGGAACAATTTGACCAATCACCGTCGATACTCACATGCTTGCGATAGCGAAAACTTTATGTTGACATAGTTTATAAACATCAGATATATAATAAACTCTTTCCATAACCAGACAGTGTAATTACATGATTAGTTTTCATGCTTCAATACGGATTTGTTGACATGGTATTTCTTGTGTTACCTGCTCACAGTAATGTCTTTGTGTTGGGAAAAAAACATCAAAATTCTTCAACCCTGTGTATAAGATGCCCCCCTTGAAAGCACCCTAATTCTAGGTACGAAAAACTTGCTTTATACACAGCGATATATGGTAAGCCCATCTCACTTACTCAAGCTATACAACATAGTGAAGATGTAACTCAAGTTACTGTTACAGGGTGCTGATTACTTTAAATACGGTATGTCTTTGTTTCCCCCACAGAAAGGAGCAGATCGAGCTTCAGCTGGAGTTGACCAGACGGGGGGCAGAGGGCTCTGAGAATTACGTCACCAGCCAGGGTCAACCCATAGACAAAAAGTTGAAAACAATTGGTCAAATCCTGGATGTTATTGAACAGCTGACAATGTCCCACGAGACATTTAGTGAAATGCCGGAGCTCCATCACTAGGATTGTGTACTTGAAACATTCCAGATGAGTCACATTCCTGAAACATGTCCGAACAGCAGCTGTATTCCTGAACTAAGGAATACATGAAACATATCAAAACAACAATTGTACAAGATGTACAAAAAAGCCAATACTGACATGTCCCGAAGAAGATTGTATGTCTGAAACATGTCAAAAATACAATTGTGATTGCGAATCATGGTCCAATCATAATTGTATACATGACACATGTCCCACTAACACTTGTATTTCAAAAAACTATTAAAACAACATTTGTATTCCTTCAATGTCAAAGAATGAAAATGTCAAAGCACTGTTATTCCTCAGTGTTATTGGTAAATGTCAATGTTACTGGGACAATTGCAATTTACCACACCTACATGATAAGAAGATCAGCTTGATCTTAATCACTAGGACAAGCTCAGATGGAACTTAGCTTCATCACTAGGACAAGCTGTATGGACCACAGCTTCATCACTATGACATGCTCAGATGGACCATAGCTTCATCACTACGACATGCTCAGATGGACCAGAGTTTCATCACTAGGATATACTCAGATGGACCACAGCTTCATCAGTAAGACAAGCTCAGATGGACCACATCTTCATCACTAGGACATGCTCAGATGGACCAAAGTTTTATCTCTAAGACAAGCTCAGATGGACCACAGCTTCATCAGTAGCACAAGCTCAGATGGACCACAGCTTCATCACTAGGACAAGCTCAGATGGACCACAGCTTCATCAGTAGCACAAGCTCAGATGGACCACAGCTTCATCAGTAAGACAAGCTCAGATGGACCACATCTTCATCACTAGGACATGCTCAGATGGACCAAAGTTTTATCTCTAAGACAAGCTCAGATGGACCACAGCTTCATCAGTAGCACAAGCTCAGATGGACCACAGCTTCATCAGTAAGACAAGCTCAGATGGACCAAAGCTTCATCACTAGGACAAGCTCAGATGGACCCATTCTTCATCAGTAAGACAAGCTCAGATGGACCGACGCTTCATTAACAGCACTAGCTCAGATTGGCCAGAGTTTCATGACTAGGATAAGCTCATATGACCACAGCTTCACCACTAGGACAAGCTCAGATGGACTGGCCTTTTCACATGAACAATCTCAGCTGTAATGTCCGCTGACATCGACTGCAAGTCATTCAAGAAGTCAAAAAACACTCAGAATGTCCACTCCGTCAACATTCTGACATGAAAGTTTAACTTTCTTAGAATACTTTCTCCATGTAACTGTGATGAACCTGCCTCATAGACAATCTATTTACTCCTACTTGACTTTTAGATCTTATAGGTGCAGCTAACACTTGGTGTTCTTTCACCACATTCCAGATGCCGATCCTGTCTTATTGACGGGGGTACACACATCGACCATGTCGCTTGTTCAACAAGAAGTGTGTTCAGCGAACTTTGTCAATTCAATATATCTCTGTTGATAGGGGTACTCACATCGACTATGTCGCCCATTCCACAAGAAATGTGTTCAGCGAACTTTGTCAATTTATATATATCAGTATCTCTTTATTTTTGACATTTTGAGATTTTTAATCTGTGCTATTTTCCATGTCAAAGTTTTTTGTCTTTTATATTGCAATATTTTAGAAATGTAAATCGTCTCAGTGTAGCTTAAACTGCAGCGTTCTGATCCTTGGTTTAGTAGAGGATTGTTTCACAGACGGTTCCGAGAAACAGCTACTTACTTGGAAATATTTTATAATATTGTTTATGTTGTCAAAAAGTCAAATGCCCTATACCTTAAAATACTCATATGGCGATGCATGACATAATATTCAATTATACAGTCCACTGTGAATTTGTGAACATTGTTTAGAAGTTAATTGTTCCAATATTATACCAGCCTTTGTGAATTTGTGAACATCATATAGAGGTTAATTGTTTCCATATTACACAGACCTTTGTGAATTTCTTGAACGTCGTTTACAGATAAATTGTTTCCATATCATAGTGACCTATGTTAATTTGTAAATTGTTTCCATATCATAGTGACCTATGTTAATTTGTAAATTGTTTCCATATCATAGTGACCTATGTTAATTTGTAAATTGTTTCAATATCAAAGTGACCTATGTTAATTTGTGAACGTCGTGTAGAGATTAATTGTTTCCATATTACACATGCCACTGTGAATGAGAGAACATCGTGTAGAGGTGAAATGTTTCAATATTCTACTGGCCTTTGTGAATTTCTTTCATGTGTAGGTCATTTGTTTCAAACAGTCATGCTTTTGTGAACATCATTTAGCAATTATTTGTTTCAATTATATTGGCCTTTTTTAATTTTAGCAAAACCATTGAGGAATTATCTGTTTCAGTGACACAAGGCCTTAGTGAATTTTATCAACATCATTCAGAGATAGTAAAATATGTATGATTGAAGTTTACTGGCCAACTTGAACTTTGTAAAAATTATAAGGTGCAAAGTGGTTATGTTGTATGCACAAAGGGAATGTTGTTATGTATTATCTGCATGGATATTTGTGGCTCTCATGACAGTTGCAGAAAATAGTATCAAAGGGTTTTCTTATGTCAGGCTAAAATAATATTACACTTGGTTCACAGGCACTGCCCGTATCATCAGAATGTTTGCAGCACGTTTTGTTTTTATTTCCATTTAAAAAAAGATCCCAATTCTTGAAAACAATATGATCCAATAGAGCATGGGCGGATACAGCTTTTTTGAAAAGGGGGTGCACAATTAAGATCTATTTAATGTCTTTGGTGGTATTTTATACAGAAACAAAGATTTTTTTCGAAATAAAAAGGGGCGGTGCGCACCCCCGCACCCCCCTTCTGTATCCGCCCATGTAGAGCATGCAGTTACTTTCCTGTACATGGGCACTGCTTTACTGTGCATCTCACGTGATGGCGGGGCCACGGGTGGCCCAGTCGTCTAAGGCGCCGCGATTTGATGTGCAGAGTTGTGTCCCTTGGGTATGCCAGAAACCTATGTTTGTGGGTTCGAATCACGGTTCGCCCCGATTATGGTTCTAGGTTTGTCAGCACCATACCCGTGCTTGTGGGTTTAACCGAAGTGGTAAACGTCTGAGACCTGCATCACTTCGGGCTTTCCTCCCACATTAAGCTGACACGCCGCGATATAACTGCAATACTGTTAAAAGCGGCGTTAAACCCAACTCACTCACTCACTCACTCATGTGATAGCAATGGCAGCAATAGGAGTTTGTATGCTTGTTTATGTAGGGAGGCCCTTTCCCAGGTTAATGTACTAGTTTGAACAAGCAAAATAAAAAACACCGCCGTCCTCACTATATTTTCAAAAGTTATTGCCAGTGAACCAATTGTTTTATTTTTTTAAGCCTTAGAAATGTAACAACTTCAAACTATTGACGCATAACAATTATCTATGGACCAAAGGAAATAAATTGGTTACATGTAAAATATCAATAATCATGTAAATGCCACACAACACCTTTGATAGTATTGTTAAATGTAATGAAATGGAAAAATAGTTTTAATCTTTTGCTTTTCCATTCTTTAATCCAAAATACACTTTTCTGGAAGAAATATGAGCATTCATTAACAAAACTTTCATGAATTTATGTCCGACAGTAAAGAGTTACCTCCCTTCACTCCTGAATCTAGGATTAGCCATGTTGAATAATGGTATGAAATCTGCATTGTAGGACGGTAGAAGTTTGTGAAACTAGATACAGTACTATTGTTATGGTTAAACTGTCTTTGATAGTCGCCCCTATTGTCAGTATTCACAGGCTGAAGTATTGGCTTTTGTTGTTTTAATGCGGACAGTATTGAGAAAACTGACAAACATAAGGTCATGTGGATATAGTGGAGAATATTTAATCTGTTATGCAGGTTGTAGTTTCATAGACAGCACTGCACGGGCGCCATGTGATTCCTAGAGTAGTTTCGTGTACAAGCATCCTGTAAACACCATGTGCTTGCGAGCATGTTACTGATAAGGCCTTCCATATTATTTTGGTTTTCTCATCCCCATGCTCAGATTGAGAGGGCGCAGGTTTTAGCTCACCTGACTGAAAGTCAAGTGAGCTTATGTTGTGGCATGTCCAGCTGTTCATCCGTCTGTTGTTAACATTTAAATGTTCATCATCTTCTAAAACTAGGCCTAAGAGCTGAAACTTTGTATGAAGATCCCTGCTATGGTGTCTCCAAAAATATGCACACAGAATTCCAATCCGACTTTAAATATGGCTGCCATTATTTCTCCATAATTCAGGTGAGCTACAGAGCTTTGTGGCCCTATGTTATTTAAATGCTTTGTATGAGAATACAACTGCTAAATTTGCTGTTGTGTAATGTGCAAAAATGGTTCAGTAGGACGTTTTGACCTCAGTTTTTGAACTGTTGGAAAGGATATGCACATTAACTCTTTAACACTTATTGTGCTCTATTCATGTGCTATAACAGCTGCTGTGTTGCGAGTTTAACAGAGAGAAATATCAAGAGCTTATATGAAGGAAAGATGAAACTAATGACAGAGTTTGAATATACTTCCAGAACAGCATGAATGATTTATATTCAGATTGGCAAATGGGTCGATATATTGTTATATTTTTGAGTGCCCTTATGAGTGCTTATATTTGGCATGGGTGTCATGCTTCGGAGTTGTGTCCCCTTACCTGCCAGGATCCACTGATCATGAGTTAGAATCCAAGGTGGCAGACATCTCAGACCAGAGCTGGTGGTTTTCACTACTGTGGTAGACATCTCAGACAAGTGCTGGTGGTTTTCACTACTGTGGTAGACATCTCAGACAAGTGCTGGTGGGTTTCACTACTGTGGTAGACATCTCAGACCTGTGCTGGTGGGTTTCACTACTGTGGTAGACATCTCAGACCTGTGCTGGTGGGTTTCACTACTGTGGTAGACATCTCAGACCAGTGCTGGTTGGTTTCACTACTGTGGTAGACATCTCAGACCAGTGCTGGTGGGTTTCACTACTGTGGTAGACATCTCATACCTGTGCTGGTTGGTTTCACTACCGTGGTAGACATCTCAGACCAGTGCTGGTGGGTTTCACTACTGTGGTAGACATCTCATACCTGTGCTGGTGGGTTTCACTCCTGTGGTAGACATCTGAGACCAGTGCTGGTGGGTTTCACTACTGTGGTAGACATCTCAGACAAGTGCTGGTGGGTTTCACTACTGTGGTAGACATCTCAGACCAGTGCTGGTGGGTTTCACTACTGTGGTAGACATCTCATACCAGTGCTAGTGGGTTTCACTCCTGTGGTAGACATCTGAGACCAGTGCTGGTGGGTTTCACTTCTGTGGAAGACATCTCAGACCAGTGCTTGTGGGTCTCATATGTGATAGACTTATTGGTCTTTCCTGAAACAAAAATCAAAATGCTGTTCATGAAAGCGTTAAATCCAATCAGGATTACAATCTGAATACTTGGGACAGTGATGCTTTGTGAATGTATAAGAGATGCTTACAAGCATAAATGAGAATTATGTATGTGTGGCGGTTTTGGTGATGGAATGTTTCTCAAGTGTGAGGGATTGGGCTGTCAATACTAGAATAGTTCAATAAGGATAACTCCTGACATCACCTTACTAGATAGGCCTGTGGTGAGAGTGTTCACCTGTCACACACACTCCTCGGTTCTATTCCCAACATGGGTAAAACATAACAAGGTCATGCTTTTTGACCCTGCTGTGATATGAATGTTATTGCTTTGAACGTGTAACCCATCTCATTCCTGCTAATTCCTGTATTTATTCACATAATCATTCTCTCACATTTTAATGGCTGTTTTAAGTTGACCTGTTTTGTTATATTCTTTCAATGTTATACTTTTTTTATGGGAGATATACAAAATGTCCTGGAGTTATCAGAATAATATTTGTCTTACGACCCATTATTGTCATCCTATAGTTTGTGGAACAGAATTTAACCATAGACAATGATTCCCACAGAATAAAACTCAAATCAGCCCAACTTCAGAAATAAGAAAAATTAAAATTGAAAATAAAGTAGTAAATTTTTATGCTGAAGTCTGTTTGGGATCAAAGTTAAAGGCATGTTGTTTGAAGTCATTTGGTTCTAGCTTTCTGACTTCCATCTGACCCAGTGTGTGACAAAGAATTAAAGTCATTCCTGTCAAGTCAAGAAGTCTGGGCCTTGGGCAAAGGCAAATTTGTTAATTATTGGGTGAAGTCATTTGTTTCTGAACAACGATCTGTCCAGATATTGTTGTGCTTAAGGTGTGAGCGTGACAAATACTTAATGTTGTCTATTAATATACAGAAGTCTCATCAGGATTATGTCTCAGATGATTGAGAATCCTCTGTGAATCCCCATTTATCACTTTGTTCACTACCCCAGCATAATTACAACCGTATGTGTTGACGACGTATTGTGCCTGCAATCTGTCTCATGTTACATCTCTTGCCATGCATTTCATCTTCATGCCACTCCCTCCCATCATTCTCAGTATCAGTAGAAGCCCCCAAGGGATGAGGAATTGGAGGGATGCCAAGACCCTAATGACCACCCCCTAAAAAGACCTTATTGAAATACTTGTATATGTTGTTAGGAGACACACACACTACAGGTTAAAATTGACCTTCCCCCAACAACTCTATAATTAAAAATGTGTGGCAACCCTCCACTCCCATTAAGACTCTTGAATACACTTTCTTCATTATAGTCTTCTTTCTTTCCCACATTCATTTGTTCCTACTTTCTCTCACTTTTTCATCTCTTTTCACTTCATTGTTGGGTTGCCTTTTGCATGATCTTTCGATTGGTCCCTTTGAAAGTTTGATTTCCACTTTAGTATAAACTGTTAAATGAATGTAAATATTTTACTTAGGACCTAGGCTAGAAAAGGACCCCTGCACATTATTTGTTGAAGGGGATCAAGAGTGGACAAGTCACTTTCTATGCCTGTGCTGTAGAGGTGTAACGATATGGTGGGGTCGGAATCGATATGTATCCCGATACTATGGGTGCGATATGATTCATATCCCAATACAGTACTAATATTTGTTTTTGTTTGTGAATCACAACCCTGAATCATTTGTTTTGAAAGATCAAAGATTAGATATGGCCGGGCAGAAACATATAGGCGAGAGGGCGCAGCAAATGTTATTCTATTTATAGCCAACAAAGTAGACACAATTTTATTGATAACCGCTTCTTTATTTACAGTAAAGGCAACATTTCAGTATAGATGCTGTTACCGTTGTCAAGTTACTATCCATAAAATTGTCTACTTTGTCATCCATCAACAAGGGATGGTCGGGTAGCCTAGTGGTTAAAGCGTTCGCTCGTCACGCCGAAGACCTGGGTTCGATTCCTTACATGGGTACAATGTGTGAAGCCCATTTCTGGTGTCCCCCGCCGTGATATTGCTGGAATATTGCTAAAAGCGGCGTAAAACCATACTCACTCACTCACTCATCTGTCAACAGGTAATGCCTATCAAACAGTTAGTTGTGGAAAGGTTTCTGTTATCATGTGGTTAATATTCAAAAGTTTTAACACCAATATAACTTGTAATGTGATATATGGTGTGAATCAGTACAGAGGTTGTAAATCAATGCGTTGTATCGTGTGCCTCGTATCGGGATACAGAGGTGTGTCGCCGTATCGGTACACCACTACTGTACGGAATGTGTGTCATCATGCCAAACTGGCATGGAATGTTGCTCATGGCTTCAGCCACTGGTTTGCCCTGTCCGGATTAGGCAGATTGAACTTGGTGATGAATTAATATTGTAACCTCGGGACAAAAATTTGGTATTGTATTGACAGAGATCCTGATTAGTCAGAGTCTGGTTTAGAAAAAGTCTAGAGTCTGGTTTAGACAGAATGCACTGTGTTGGCCATCCTCCCCATCCTTTTCTGTCCTCCTCTCTTTCTTTCCATTTTCTGCAGCTTCTTTCCATCTACATTGTATTTATGTTTCATGACATTAATGTATT